TGTGTGTGTGTGTGTGTGTGTGTGTGTGTGTGTGTGTGTGTGTGTGTGTGTATTGCTGGGGATCCAGCCTAGGCTCTCAGACCTGCTAGATAAGTCCTCTACTGACTGAGCTACATCTCCAAGAGCAAGCTGCTTCCAAGGAAACACTCCAGTGCGTTCTGCTGCACACAGAAGATTGTGAACTCTTGGTCTGCTGTGTATCAAATAGTTTTTTCTGTTTTTAAGAAAAGTTCTTGCAGTATCACATTTATAAATGGCTTTTGGTTTACTCCTGTTTTGCAGATTCTTACAGCCAGTACAGAAAATAGACATGAATCTCACAGATCTTTTGGGAGAACTTCAGCGAGACCCATGGCCTGTGCCACAAGGGAAGAGACCTTTGCGTTCCTCAGGAGTGGCCCTTTCCATAGCTGTAGGACTACTTGAGGTAGTAATGATGAAAATTTGGTTTTGAAATGTAAGAGTCCTTGTGTGTGTTGCACACATGAGTGTGTGTGTGCACATGTGGAATAGTAAAGATGTTGAGCCAAACACTGTGGTGGTGGTTGGTGTAAGGGTCTATTCTTTCCTCCTTTCTTATTTCTTTTTATCTTTTTCTTCCTTGCTCCACTCTCATCTTTCTCCTCCTTTTCTTCTGTCTCACTATATAATACAATTAGTGCTGAACCTGAACTGACGGCAGCCCTCCGACCTTAGACCTCTGAGTGTAGGACTATCGCTGTGCACCACCATGTGTGGCTCTTCTCTTCTCATTCAGGAATTGGTGTACAATACTTTTTTTTTTTTAAACTCCACATTTCAGGCAATTCTGTGGCAGAAACAGCTGTGTGTTCTATCAATTCGAGTTTGACACTGTTGACTAGAAGTAGCATTAGTTCTCACAGATTAAGGGCTCGTTTCCATGAACAGGCTGTTCACTTCAAATTCCAGCTAAAGTAGTAGGTTATTACTTGTACTTCTGTCTATATGTTGGATATCTTTAGGTTGGATTAATTTGCTATAGTGGCTGGCTCAGAGAACTTAGGGAAACCCTTTACTTATAGAGTGTTACAAAAGACACAGCCTGATAGGTGAAATGCATCCAGTTGCAACATGAAAGGGCATGTCCCCTCTGCACACCACACACTAGAAAGCAGCATGAGTTCAGCCATCGAGAAACTCCAAATCCAGTCCATATGATTTTAAAAAAGAATTTATTTTTATTATTTTAAATTCCGTGTGTGTATCTGTGTGCATGTGTGTGTGCGTCTGAGTATAAGTGCCCTCAGAGGTCAGAGGCAGAGCTGGAGTTATGGGTCTTTGTGAGCCACCTGACATAGATGTTGGGAATCAGACTTGGTTCTTCTGGTAAGCCATCTCTCCACCCTGATTTTTTTTATAAGATTTATTTGTTTTTATTTAGTATATGAGTGTTTTGCCTGCATGTATGTCTGTATACCCTGTGCATGCCTGGATGCCTGTGGAGGTCAGAAGGCATTGATTCCCTGGAACTGAAGTTACAGATGATTGTGAACTGCTGGGTGGGTGCTGAGAACCAAGCCTGGGTCTTCTGCGAGAACAGCAAGTGCTTTTATCACTGAGCCATCTCTCCAGGGCCCCCGCACCCCACGATTGGTTGTGGAAGCTTCACTAAAGAGGGGAGATTGACTGCATCGCTGGCTGGTGGTGTTCAACTTGTAAACTTTCTTTATTGAAATGTATTAGTAGGATGATTGTTGTAGTTAATTTGTTCTCATACCTGTTGCGCCCATGTGATTTATTCCTGTAGAGCACTTTCTTAGATTATATTTATTAGTTTTCCTTCCTTTTTTTTTTTTT